ATACGTCAGTGAAAACAATGAGTGAGGATTATACACAGCAGCATGGATGCATCTCACCAATAAACGCTGGGTGAAAAAAGCAAAGTTGCATCTTGAAGAGATATCCGTACGCCTGTGTGCACGGTAACAGTATTCACAGTGGCCAAAAGGCGGAAGGAACCCAAGCGTCCCCTGAGGCATGAGTGGATAAACAAGGGCGGTCAGTCCATACAGCGGAGTGGCATCCGGCCTTAAAAAGGAAAGAAATTCCCACACGTGCTGCAACATGGATGAACCTCGAGGATATCGTGCTTGCTGAAATAAGGTCACAAAAGGGCAAACACCGTATGATCCCACGTACAGGAGGGCACTGGGGTCGTCACATTCGGAGGCAGAAAGTAGGATGGGGGTGGCCAGGGGCTGAGGGAGGGAATGGGGGGCTCGTGTTTCATGGGGACAGGGTTTCGTGACGGGTTGCAGGATGGGAAGAATCCTGGAGACGGACGGTGGTGATGTTTGCACAGCAATGTGAACGTACTTCATGCTGTTGAACCGGACACTTAAAAATGGCTAAGGTGGTCAGTTTTAAGTTATGTGTACTTTACCACAATTTAAAAAAAAATTTAAAGCAAAGTGCAGACGGTATCGTGTATCTGAAGGTTAAAAACGTACAACAGCCTTTTGTGTTAACAAAGTTATAAGAATGTGCACAGGAAATGTACAGATGAAATTGGGGGGGTGGGTTGCTCTGCTGAGATTTAGCTCCGGGGGAGCTGGGAGGGGGTGGGATTTGAGGGGGGGTCCAGGGGGCCACGATGGTGACAGTTTATCTCTGAAGCCGTGTGGTGAGAACACTGCTCTCTACATTCTCTGCGCCTGTTTCATTAGCAAGAGGACCCTGAGGTCACCCTGGTGACGGGGAGAGGGCTTCGTGCCCTCCCCCAACAGCCGCTTGGCCAAAGCTGAAGGGTCCGGGGGTCCCCATCCACCCAGGCGGCCTGCGGAAGCCCCTGGGAACATTCTTTCATTCTCGGGTTGAAACACGGAGCTCCGCCCCTCCCCCAGCCTCAGCCTCTGGCAGAGCTCCAGGATTATTTTACATTAATTTAAGATCCCTAATGAAGAATAATTAACAGCTTCAAGGGAGCCCGGCACACCCTGTGTTTAGAAGTGGTTAATTATGCATTGTCTGCAAAACATCCTTTTCATACTCTTAAGTTTTGGGTCGCTGTTTTAAACAACGGAATATGGCATCAGGAAAAAACCCAAGCAGCTCCATTTGCAAAGCCTTCCTGGGGGCGGATCTGTTTGGGCAAGGACGGCCACCATTTCCCACGCCCGACCCCGTAAGCGCCCACGGGGGCCGTGAGAGGCGGGCTGGCACACCTCCCGCATTGCACAGGGGCAGGCACGGAGGGAAAGTGGCTCTCAGACTCTGCCGGGCTGAGGTCGGACCACGAAGCCAAGTTCGTGTCTGCCTGACTGATGTGTTCCCATTATGTGCAGTCGCTGACAGAAAGAAGACTGAGCGCCTCGTTCGCTGGGGTGCATAGAGGGGCTCCACAGCCGGACCACCTGCTCACACCCTGAAGGTCCCGCTGACAGGCCGTGGGACTCTGGGCAAACTACTTTGCCTTCCTGTGCCTCAGTTTCCCCCAGCAGGAAAATGGGATAATCACGTCCCCCTCTTCACTGGGCTGCTGCAGAGTCCGGCTTAGAACGGCACCTCACATGTGCTCACTGAGTCTCACTATTACGGTCACCTAGTCTGCCTTCCTTCTTAGGGTCATTCCCTTAGATGTGCCCGACCCTTCAGCCTCACCTTTGGCCATTTCTGCACCTCCTTATGTTTCAGCTGTGCTCTCTGCCCTTCCCTGTCTGGAAAAATCCTACTCCTACAATCAGCTCAGAAACCACCTCCCGCAGGAAGCCTCCCTTGATTTCTCCCAGATAGCCTCCCTCATGCTCCTGGTATCTTTGTGCCACCTCTGTCTCCCCTCCTTAATCTTCATGGCTTGCGTAGTGGGTCTGTTTCCCCCTTGGAGGCTGACAGCTCCTTGAGGACCATGTCCCATTTGTCTCTGGGCTGCAGTGGGGGGGGGTTGGGAAAAGAGCCCCAGCTCTGAGTAAGGGTCTCCCGAGGTGGTCAGGGGCCAGGCGGTCTCGCACCAGCTCCCCCTGGAGGCTGAGCCACGCCTCTCACAGGGACCATGGGACTCCCAGAGGTGACTCCATCTGTCACTCCCTCCCTACACCGGACACGGGGTCCCCACTGTGTGCAGCACAGAGCCCACCCCCCGGCCCCGCCTCCATCCCTGGCACCCCCTCCTAGCTCCATGGTCTTCTGCGACCCCCTGAAGACATGTGTCCTTTGGAAACTTCCAGGCTGATTCCCCACATGCTCTTCCCTCTCCCTAGAACCTGCCTCTCCTCCTCGGCCCGGACAGCTTCTCCAGACAGGCCCCTGCCCCCTCAGCTGTCTCCTCCTCTGTGAAGCCCCCACACTCTGGTCCTCGTCCCGATGAGCCCCTGAGGGGAGGGGCTGTGCCTCACTCGTCCCTCCCACCCACGACCCCAGTGTGCGGCGTGGCCTCAAGCCGTGGCCTCAAGCCGTGGAGCGCTCAAGACATGCTGTCTTGGGGCAAGAGAGACCTTAGTTCCAAACCCTGGGGCCCCACCCACTTGGCCACCTGCCCTTCGGTCTCACCCGGCTCGCCTGCTCAAAGCGGGGGGCTTAGCCTCTTCCGCAGCAGGGTAAGGATTTGGGGATCCTGTAAAGCGCCCCACCCTCAGCAGTCTCACTAACAGCCAGAATATGCCAGGGGCCCCAGGCTCTAAGGACAAAGTCCCCAGAGGTGGGGGTGAGGACGCGTCCACCTGCGCAGGGCAGGTCCCACCGGGCGCGGCCTTCCGCTCAGCCGCGCGTGCTAATCAGATGCAGGACTGGCACCCGCCCCGGAGTCGGGACTTCCTGCCGTGGGACCCTCAGCGCCTGCAGAAAGCCCCTGGAGGAGCAAAGAAAAGCTCCCACGCTTTCCCAGAGCGGCCGCATGCTAATGCCCGCGGGCTTCACAGCGTGTGAAATCCGGAAAAGCGAATTCCCTCAGAGTGGCTGCTGTTCCGACTCCCTCTCCCAGATCTTTCAAGGCGACTGCGGGCCGGCTCCACGGCGCCCTTCCTGCTGGCCTAGGCGCCGGCGCTTCCCGGCCGAGGTGCGCGAGCAGACGCAACACGCGTGCGGACGACGCTGTCAGGTGTGTTACCGTCCGGACGCGCGGTGCTGGCAGCCGCATCCTTCCAGGGAGCGGCCCCAGGTGCCGCCGTTACCGGTTCAAACACCTGAAGGTGGGGAGACGGGCTCAGGGAGGGACAGCAGCCTGCCCGAAGTCACACAGCAAGGGGAGGGACTTGAACTCTGGTCTCCTGGCCTCCAGACCAGGGACCCCCCACTCAGCCTCCTCAAACAGTTCTTAAATTCCTGCTTGGGACGCAGGCAGTCCGCCTGTTAATCAGATGAGCCGCCCATTAGGCTGGAGGGAATGTGTGCGCCGCCCTCCCGGGGCCACCCCTGTCCAGGATCAAGTCCGCTCCAGGGATGAGCCCGACAGCGAGAAGCACGGGAACACAGCGCCTGACACAGGACACCCTGAGGGGAGCACTTTCCCCCAGAAAAACCACGGGTTCAGGGCTCGGGGGGAGGAGGGCACAATTCAGCCAAGTTGCAAAGTGACCCACAGCTCACGCAGCCGCTGATGTTGGCCGGGGACAGGGACCCCGGGCCGACCTGAGCAGGCCCTGCGGTGGGCAGGCCGCGGTGGGGGGGACTTGGCCTCACAGCCCCTCGCCCTGTGGCAGGGCCTCCCCACGAGGTGCACGTACCTTTTATAGGCTCCATGCAGCGGCTGCAGGCACAGGAACTGCCAGTAATCCAGGCAGAAGGCCTTGAACTTGAGCATTTTCCCCTTCGGTCTCCAGCCGGACCACTGTGGCTCCTCTGCCAAGACTTGGGGAGGTTTGGGGGGTGGCTGGGGGGCTGGCCGCTCTGGCCCACCCTGTCCCGCCGCGGCCCCCACTCACATGGCCCGGCCCGGACGGCTCCTCAAGCACACGCCTCCGATACAAAGAGCAGCGCGCACAAAAGCCCAGCAGCGCGTCGGTGCGGCTCCCCGGGGCAGCCTCACACTGCTGCTGTCTCTGGCGGCGGGTTCTTCTTGGGGCTCCTCTGCGGGGCCCCGGGGCACACCGAGGCAGCCCGGGCTGGGCCCAGGAGCAGGGGCCCCTGGACTGTCATCCTGGGGGGCCTGGGTGCTGGGGTTCCTGACGGCGACTCCAAAAGTCCCTGGCCCGGTCACACAGGCCCCGGACACTCGGCAGCCGCGCCGGCACCTGGCCGGGCAGCCGGCCACCTGCCTGGCCCCGCGTGGCTCAGGCCCCCAGCCCCGGGCGTGAGGCACGGACGGGGTGAGATGATGGACAAACGCCGGCCCTGACGCCCAGGTCAGTTACGTTTGGTGGAGTCCTGGTCCGGCCGTGGGAGCGAGAACTCCCCGCACAGCCACACGGTGTGGGTGGGAGCAGCCTGGCTCCGAAAGGGCCCGCGGAGCGAGACTGACAGGGCCCCCAGGAGCCGTTGCCCCGGCGACGGGGACACATTGATAAAATCTAAAATGGAACCGCGATGACAGCTGCTCATTGGCTGCCGGGAGGGGACTCCTGTCGCTAGTCAGGGAGGGAGGGAGGGAGGGGAGCGGCTGGGCTGGGCTGCGGGCTGGGGCCAGCCAGGGGCTGCTGGGCAGGAACCGGGTGGGGGATGGGGGGACAGGCAGAGTGGGTGGCTCGGAGGCCGCAGGACCTGGCAGTCACAGGCGACGGAGCAGAGCCACCCGCCGGCCTCTCTCCATCCTCGCTGCCCATGGGCCCTGCTTCTGCTCCGACTGCCCTGGGGACCGTTCCCTGTACGGCGGCCACACCCTCCCGTGGCCCCGCGCCGCTCTCAGAATAAAGGCCGGACTCCTGACTGGTGCCCGTCCTGCTGACGGATGGACCGACGGACCACCTGACCTCTCTGAGGCTCCCTGGCCCTCTTCATGCCCCCGACCCACCACACCCCTTCTGCCAGGGTGCCCCTCCCCCGGGGCAGTGACTCATCGCCCATCAGGTATCCCCTCCACCACCTCCCGGAGCCTTCTCCGACCGTCCGAGCCTCCTTCACCCGACACCCTGTCTCGTTTTCTCCCCTGGACACGCAGTCTCTGGAACGATCCGCTTCCTTCCCTGGCCTCTGCCTCTCGTCTCACAGCCCGTCTGCCCACCACTGGGCCCCCGTCGTCATGAGCTGAAGGAATGAAGGACCCTGGGTGGAGACGGAAGGGCCTGACACCTCCCACAAAGCACGGCCCGCTCGCCCCTCTGCTCCTTCAGTCCCAGGTTTGCTCAACGTCAGTTACAAAGCAGCGGTCCTGGGACGCCCTCACAACCTCTGCTCCAAGATGAGGGAACCGAGGCTCCGAGAAGACTCTACGCCCATGGGTGGGGGGTGACGTCCAGGAGGCATCAGCCTCAGGCGGGGCCAGGCTTCAGGGGCCTGACCCACCCTGTGCTCTGGCAAAGCCCCGGAACGAGGTCACTGGCTCAGGCGGTGGTTTCCTGTCTGTTGTGGGAAACACACTGCTTCTGGGTCCGTGGCTATTTGCCCCCGTCCCAGGGCCATGCCCAGAGGAATCTGGAGTGGGGGGCGCTACTGGCATCTAGTGGCGCTTCGATGCTGCTCAACACTGCCTGGTGCACAGGACCCCCCCATGTCAGTGGCGGCGGGGCATGACCCTAACTCGGAAATACCCATCGTGGACAGGTGGCACTGGAAGGCATTTAACGTGGCTCAGCCTGAGCCTCCCAGTGAGCGGAGAGGGCACAGCCGGCTCCCTCAGGATGGGCCCAGGCGGCCCCTGGCGGCCCCTGGCTGTCGGGGGCTGGGGAGAGAGGAGCCCCTGGATAACTGGGCCGGTAGCCGCGGGGTAGATGGGGACGGAGGGTGACGGTGGCCATCTGCCAAGGGAGATGAGCCTGTGTGCCCGTTTGCCAAGTAGCCCAGGCCCGGAAGTGCCGCCCAGCCCCGCCCGCCCCTCTCCCCGGACAAGGACATCAGCTTCCCTCGCACGCCTGTGGCGGAGGAAGCCGGCTGTGCCTTTGAAAGGAGGCAATTACTGGCTGGGACCTTTGTTTCTGAATTCCCAAGCTGTGAATGGGGCCTCCTCCCTCCACCGGGGCCTGAGGGCCAGGTTCCCGAGGTTCCACAGCCAAGCAAAGCCGCTGCCCCTGCTGCAGGCGGGAAGGGCCCGGAGGCCGGGGGGGTGGGAGGCGGAGGTGGGGGCCCTGGGTCCCAGGCCTGCGTCTCAGTTTTCCCCATCTGTGAACTGAGAACATTGAGTCTGGCCCTGCCTGTGTCCCAGGGCTGCTGTGAGGGTCAGAAGTCAGGCCGCATGGACCACAGGATCACAGGAATGGCGGCAGAGCCTGTTGAGTACCTGCCTCTTTTCTGTTCCTCAAATGGGCCAAGCATACTCAACCTCAGGACCTTTGCACTGGCCATCTCCACCGCCTGGATGCTCTTCCTCCAGTGACTCACCCCCACTTGCCTTCTGGTTAAATGGCACCTCCTCCCAGAGGCCTTCCCTGACCACCCTCCTAGCACTCTCTATCCCCTTTACCCTGATTTCTTTTTCTTTACAGCATCTACCACCACCTGACACAGTATATTAAAACCCAATTCCTTTGTTTGTTGGCTGCCTGCCCGCCCCAACCTGACACGATAGCTTGGCAAAGGCAGCACTGCTCACCGTGGCATTGCAAGCACCTGACACCCACAGGTTCTTAGGAAATAAGGGCGGGGGGGGGGGGCGGGCAGGGGGCAGGCAGAGCTGAAGGGTGTCCTGCGTCTGCTCTGACCCCCAGCTTGGTCCTTCAGGGCTGTGAAGGCACCTGCGCGAGTGCGGCCAGCCTCAGGGGGGTGGTTACTGTGTCCACTCCCTGACCGTGACCGCCTGCCAGGCCTGGCTAGAGCGGGGTCTGGGTTAAGCCTGAGGGGGGCGGGGGGACACATGACGGCCCCCACCCAACCCCCAGGCACTCTGGGACAACAGACTCCCCCTCCCCCTTCATTCCAGAGCCTTCCCGTCTGGCCCCTAGCAGAGTGCTGACTAGCTGGCTGGCAGAGGGGACAAAGGGGGGGCATCTGAAATGGGGGCGGCTTTCGGAGAAGCCGGCGGCTCTGCTAGTTACAGGGGTGTCGTGAAGCTCTCACCCCGGGCCCGCCAGTCAGGGGCGTCCGGCTGTGAGCCCACGAAAACAGTGTGGACGGGGGTGAGCCCCTGCACGGCAGCGATGGGGCGAGGGCCCGACTGTACGAGGAACGGAGCGTGCCCGTGTTCCGCACGCCACGTGTGTGAGACGGTGCAAGCGCTCTGCCAAGAGCTGTGGGTGCGGGAGGCGTGTCCCCGCGGGTGCCGTTCCGAGCAGGGTCGGGGTTCAAATCCGGGGCCCTGCTTGCCAGCTGGGAACTGTGAACAAGTAACTTCTGTAAAACGGGCTAACGCTCGCTAGTTCTGTGTGGTTGTGAAGAAGCAGGATGCTGTCAGCGCTCGCTGTACACGCACACTCGTTAGGGTCACGTGTGGCCACGGGGGTCCCCATACAGGGTTAGCTGAGGGCGTGAGTGGCTGCCTCGGGGCTGGCTCAGGAAGGTCCCCCCCGCCCCCCCTCACAGCCTCAGGCGGCTTGAGGGTTTGGGAGCTGGTGGCCTTACCCTTCCCATCCCAGGCGAGCATCTACTGGCTCTGCCCGGCATGGTCTCCAGTGCAGGGGAGGGGTCACCACCCTGTGGGCCTCCTTTCAGGCTGCTCCCTGGTGAGGCTCAGCTCCACCCAGCCCTCTGCCTCACCCTTCCCGGCTCTGCAAGTCCCACCACCGAGCTCGCCCTTTGCTGGCGGCGGCCCCTCCCCCTCCCCTGGGAAGGGAGGCGCCTATTTCTACTCAACGTGGCCCAGTCTGCTCCTCCCGGCCCCACGCCGCTAACCCCGTGCCAATGCCCCCCCAGGGCCAGCGGCCCCTTACTGGCCTTTTGCGGCCCTCGCCTGTGAGCGGAGCTCAGCTGTTCTGTTCTGGGGGACCGTCCTCTGTGCCTCGGTCTCCAACCCCTTCTTGTAAAGTTAGGCACTGCCTTCTGAAGACACCTCACAGAAACGCCAAGACGCAAAGCACACGTGAGGCAGAGGCCCTCTGACGCCCCCGCTTCCACCAGCACAGCCTGAAAACCACCCGGAGGCAGCAGCTTTGCTCCTGGGCTGCGGCGGAGCCGTCACGGGAACCGGGAGCTGCGGGCTGGCCGCGGACGGACCACCAGCTTGGGTCTCAGAGGAGCCGTTAGCTGAGCCCGGGGCCTCCGGGGACCATTCGCAGCTGGCCGGGTCCTCAGGCACCTCTGGTCCCGGGGGGAGTTTTAGGGCCAAATGAGGGGAACTAACTTCCCCTGGTGCCTGTTGGGGGCCCGCCCGCGATGCCGATGGGAAGAGGGGCCGAGTGGAGGAGGGACAGTGCCTGGGGCTGCTTCCGGCCTCCAGGGCGCTCCTGAGGGCGGCGGACGTGAGACGGGGCTGCCGGTGAACCCCGACACACAGCAAACGTTTCTGGGGGCCGAGCCGGCCCAGGCCACACCGGGTGGCCCCGGGACAGGCCCTGGGGTGGGTGAGCAGCCCCCGCTAGTGTTTAGCGCCCACACGTAAGAAACCATGTGCTCTTTCCCTCCGTCTCGATCCCAAACCCCCGTTCAGAGAGCTCAGTTAGGAAGGGGCCTTGGCAACATCAAGTCCAGCTGCTCCCTGTTCACCGGGGAAGCCAAGGCCCCGGGTCCCTCAGGGAGTCTCCCAGCCTGAGCCTCTTTGTAGTCAGAGACCCACCTGGGGCCTGGGCCTGCCTGCGTGCAGCTCTGCTCGCCGGCGCCCCTGCCACCGATAAGCCCTTGCCGGGCGGGAGCCGGCCCTCAAGCTACCCCCGCCTCCAACCGACCTGCCGCCTTGCTGTTCCTGCAGCATGCCAATCCCACTCCTGCCCCAGGGCCTTTGCCCTCACCCCCTCACTCAGGACGCTCAGTCCCATCACTTCCCTGCCCGCTCTGAGAGGCCTTTCCTTGGTGTCTACAGCAGCCCCAGCCCTCAGGCTCCCCACTCTTCTCTCGGTTTTCTTCCTTTCGTGGCCCTATGTGAAAAGAGCGAAGCCATTTACCTGTGTGGTTGTTCACTGCCTGTCTCTCCGTCAGCATGTCCCTTCCCAAGGCAGGGCCGTGTGCGTCCTGGACATCGCTGGCCCCGCTGAAGGCAGGTGGGTGCAGTCAGCAGAGGGCGGGGAGCCCTGCCCGAGGCCCCACAGCAGCCTGGGAGGCAGCCCCTTCGCCCCCACTGTGGGTGAGGAAACTGAGGCGCAGAGAGGGGCAGCACCATGGACAGAGCCTATGGGCTCGGGGAGGCTGGGCTGGGACTGGGACTCAGGTGTCCGGCCTGGGACCACTGTCCCCCACGAGGCCCCCCCCGCCGGGCCCTTGCAGACCACAGGCCAGGCCCGCGATCTCCGCGCCCAGAGCCCAGAGGCCCCGCCAAGGACCTGGTGTCCAGCTTTGGATCTGGGCCCGGAGACAGCCCAACCCCAGGCCCGAGCCCTCTCCGCCCTCGGCTCATCACGGATTTGGTACAAGTCCCTTCAGCCGTCTGTGCCTCAGTGTCCACAGTTGTAAAAGGAGGGTGAGTGACAGTAAATCACTGACAGGGGCAAATAATGGGCGAGGAAGGGCTGTGAGGAGCAGGAGCCCCTGCTGGCACGGCCAGCGTCTGAGGCCTTTGGGGTCTCAGGATGTGCCTTTCACGACTCGGTGGCCTGCACCCCCCCATCCCTGCCTTTCCGGGGGGCAGCTGCTATGGCACCAGACACACCCGTGGAGACACTGTCCCCGGGCCACACCGCCCCTCCCCCACCCAACGTCTCAGAGGCCCAGGGCCCCTGCATCCCGTGGGCCTGTGCTTGGCGCTGGAGCTTTGCCATTCTGAGCCAGTGCTGGGTGCCCACCATGGGTCATCTGAGCTTCAGCCTCGGTTTACCTGCATGCCCTTCCTACATCCCTGATGGAAACTCCCTGCTGGAGGCTGGACCCCCTTCCACAGCCTCACGCTGACCTGCACTTCTGGTCCAACGACAGTGTCGCTGCTCTGCTGGACCCCAGAACCAAGCCTGCCCCAGGCCCCCCGTCCTTCTCGGCCCCAGAGGCCCCAGACAAGCTTCCCTCCCCGCCCCAGGGCCACACGCCCTGGGCCCGACGACGGTGCCAAAGCCCAGCAAGAAAACAGGACATAAGAGGCGCTGTCAGGATGCCTCCAGTCACTGTCCCGGACCGTCTGCTGTCCTGCGCCCGCTCCCGTGGGCGACGGCACCTCCCTCCCGCGCCGGGACCCACACCGGGAAAGGCATGCGGTTCCTGCCTTTGGGAAGCCCCTAGTCCAGACGAGGGACCCAGCGCCCAACACCTCCCCCAGCGCCTGGCCTCCCCCATGCGATGTGCCGCGTGAGGAGACAGCGATACGGCGGTTTCCGCGGCACTCCCTGCTCTAACCCTTGCACAGACCTCACGAGGTACCGGGATTTACAAGTGCTGAGGGGGCCGCTCGGGAGCACCCTCCACCGGAACCCCTGGCTCTGCACCCGCAGCAAGCCCCCACCCACCCTGCAGACTGCTCCAGCGTCAGCTCCTCGGTGCAGCCTTCGTCGCCTGCCGTGACCCTCCACGCAGACCACCGCTCCCGTCCTTCCTTCTCTCCCCTCTCCCCCTCCCCTCCTTCCCTCCTCTCTCTCCCGCTTCCCCAAGAGTCGTGAGCACGGTTTGAGCAGCGCCTGTGTGCAGGAGGCATTGCTGTTACCACTACAGCCATCAACTCACTCAGTCTTCGCCGGAGCCCTTGAGGGAGGAACCCCCGGCATGTTGTGGCCACGGGTCCAAGATGTTGCAGGAAGCCTGCACTGAGGTGTGCACGTGAGGGTGGGGACTGTCTGCTGAGCACCCCCTGCCCCACAGGACCGGGGCCCTAACGGCCGTGCAGGGCTGGCCGGCCTGCCGTGGCCCCACCCTCAACCGTGTGGGCGGCGGTGGGCTCTCCACTCCTCCCCCCACGACCCTGCCCATCCCTGGGGTCCCCTCGGCGGCCTGAACCCCTAGGCAGTCCCCTTCCTGGTGTCTCTGACCCTCCGTCAGCCCAGCGAGGACTGGCTCTGAGAGAAGACCAGCCATGAGCTCTGCTGGGTCCACGCAGCTTTGGAGTCACAGACTGAGGCCTGTTCTGCTCCCTGTCTGCCACTCAGCCCGACTGTCAGCAGGAAAGGCCCAGGTTGAGGCCGCCTGGCTGCGCGCACCTGGATTTAGAACCAGCCCCCCGAGCTCACACCCCAGATCCAGCCTTGGGGGCGGCAGAGACTCTCGGCCTGGACCTCCCCTCTGGCGACAAAACACTCCACCTCCCGTCACCTCACATGGAGGATGAGGGATGAGACACAGATGAGCTGTTACCCACAGCGAAAACCCGCTTTGTAAACCAGAAGGTGCCAGCGCGTGCATATGGGGGTCACTCCTCTGGCTTTTATCATGCGTGTAACACGGAGATGTGAGAGCTTAAAGGTCAGCGCAGGAGTTCTAGAGCAAAGAGGGTCCGGGTTCAGACCCCAGCTGCGCCACCTACTAGCTGTG